TAAGTCTCGCTCGGGTACAGTTTCACCCTAGAATGAGTAACTACTGACAGTGCAATGCAGTAGCTTTATGGCACCTGCCTAAGATGGAAGAACCACATGTAACTTATCTTTTATTGGGCTTAGAAAACTCGGTTGTACTTCGTGATTACCTCATGTGTTGCGCACTACAACTTTACACTCTTCGTGATTGTTTCAAGTGGATTGTAGTACGGTGACATACTGAGACGGCGAGCTACGGCATCTTTCCTCTTCGTATTATGATTCGTCCGCCATTCAGATCACTATGTAACCTCCATGGTATTACTCACCAGATGATGCGAGACTGCTGCTATCACTTTTGCTACCTACATTCTGCTCCTTGAAATCGACTGGTAGATTACATGACCCTATCTCGACCAGCTGGCCGATACTACCTAGCACGACGCTTAGAGAGCCGGTACATCGCAGGATAAAGCTGCAGTCCATCCATTAGCTCATTCGTAGTTTACGTGCGCGCGCAGTTTCCGAGCGAACTGATTTGTTGATACGGATCTATGCTATGGTGGCAAATTATTGAGTATGTTTCCGTTTCGGTGGTAAGATGCGAATCAAAACGTTACCCAACTGACCGCTTACAGTACACATAAAGTGTAAAGTATGACATTTGGAACACAACGCTCAATGATTGTCCCTCGTGTGACCATGTTGGGCCATGCAGCCGAAGAGAAATCACCCTGGAAAATCCGTAGCAAGTGAATAATCCCGACCATTAACTGGCTACCATTAATCATGATATCGACAGTCTACGTTCCGCTCCAAATGTTAGTGATGACAGTGACCATAGCTGCGTTACCCGTTGTTCGTCAGTCATGCTGAATAAAGCTGTGCTTATGAAAACGCAGGTATTACGCGGATTGAAGGCGAAAGCACAGAGGTGTCTAGTAGAAGTGGAATTGTACAAGGAAAATCATCTGGGTGGACTAAGAAGAAGGTAATGCCAACGGTAATGTTACCTCAGTGTCTTAGTATGTTACATCGAAAAGGGATCGGCGCATAGCGACAACTTTTTGTTTTAAAAACACCGCATGGCCGCAACCGAGACGTACGATGCAGATGATTACCAAATAGATTATGGCCACAGCAGAGTACACAGTGTTATGCACAAACGGTTGAGTACTTGGATGACAGCCATGCTACGTCTTGGACATTTGCAAAATAGTGCGAATACTGTTTTGAAAGACACATGTTTGACAGTGGGCAGCGGGACTTAGTTGATGTAGTACTGCGGTTGCTGTCGTGCCAAGGAGCCCGTAAACGGCGAATATGTGGTATTGTCACCTGTTAATACTTTAGGTTGCGTAAAAGACGTTCTTTGAGAATCCGCACGTACCTCGGGCAGCAGATGAGCGGACCGGTCGGCAACACGGAGAGCCTGAAGTGAACACCCCATCGCATTCGCACGATGTGCGATCATCCCCAATCAGCTACGCAAACCATGTTGTACATATGAGAGGCAACACCTAAGTACCACTCGTTTATTTATCATTCTACCAGGTAACCGTACTGATAGCAGTTGCGTCACTACTTCTATATCGGTTTCATACAAATATTGAGGCCTAAAATTTAAAGCTGCCACTTATGTTCACGTATAAATGTTAAAGAAAACACCGACAGATCGTATTGGGTACCTATTCTCATGCGTGCCCAAAATGGCTGTTAGCCTGATCTCCAAACAGTACCCATGCAGGTTTGCAGTACATTGTTCATGAGGTTTAACGTGTCTCTATTCAGTTTGTGTCAGTTCATACTGAAGTTTTGACAAACGCATGTGCATAGGTTGTATTCGAACCACCAGTAGACACGGATGACGCCAAGCCATGTATATATGTATCCGGAATGAACCCGACGAAAACACTCATGCCGCTTTTGTAAGGCCAACTTATTGCAAGGAAGTGGCAGTTGGGCAAACCGAAAATAACATTACCAGGACATAAACAAGGTGAGTTTGTGACGAACTAAGGTTGATTTCAGGTGTTGCGAATCAAAGGCAAAGTTGATCAGTGCGCATTCCGTGGGCTACTCAAAAGGGCGGTTGCCCAGATGCAGGAGAAGGCACTATTGCACCTGGAAGAGAAGCTCGATGCGTCCGCTCCCATTCGAGTTACTAATTTAGGCCAAGGCGGCGGATGTGGTACGTTTGTCTGCGTGATGAGCATTCCTGCATTTCAGAGGTTAGATGTTGATTGAGTTCCGCGGTGTGGCTGCGCCTGATGTGAATGTTGACAAGGTGCCTACCTGTCTATTCCCCCCACCTCGTCCATACTGGTTCCAGGAGACAGGTGGTCGTTGTTGGAGGGGACGGAGTGTACTGTCCTCGTGAAAGTGATAGGGTCAAAGAGTGGTTCCATCCTGTGTGGAACGAGCTGCGACCCAGGCCCCGCCTTGTGTACGTATGGTGCGCATGATTTCCCGCTTAGGCACGAATGCTTCTGTTCTGCTTGTTGAAGGAGTGTGGGCCGGCTCCGTTGATGAAACGTGGCTCCCACCCGCATACCTTCCGTTCGTATTCCTTCGGGATTATACCGGATTTGGGGTGTGGGTGGAACTGTGGGTGGTGCAGCGCAAGACACCCATGGTCCCTCTGTAGGTGCAGGCGTCCTGTGACTGTCCCATGGAGGTCACAGTGACAGGCAAATCCGGATACGGACGCCGCCAAATCCAAAGTCAATGTGTAACCGGTTTGTGGCTCTCGTGTTGGAAATTCGGACAGGTCAGACTACATTGGTTCGACAAGGAATATAGTAAATTGGTTCGGTGGGGACGCAGACTGTGGGACAAATCCATTATCTCAGGCTTGTCGAGGACTACGAAGTGTATAAAACGCAACAAAATATTCTCAACAGTATGAAAACAAGCAAGCGTCGACTTTTCGACAAACAGCTAGCAACCGGCGCAAACCCCCCCCCCGAAGAGAATCTTTGTATGTGTGAAACGGCGGCAGAAGTCTGCAGGTGATCTACTAGTGACAGAGGGCTCAGACGGAGAGCCCTTAGTCTCCAGCACTGAGCGTGCGTCAATATTAGTGGCACATTCCGCTTTGCTATTTGTAAATGACCATGTGGCTGTACCGAGTTCGGTGTGGACCACGCTCACCGAACTTTATAGTCGAGATTGTGATGTGGAAGAAATGCATAAACTACTTGGCAACCTAGACGATACGAAGCCTGTTGGGTCTGATGAGCTTGATTCTTGATTCCCAAGGCCTCAGCGACCATTCCCTCTGTCCAAAGGTACATCGTTGAACGAATGGCAATGCGAAGCGGTAAAGCTATTTCCGTAAAGTGGTGACCTTGAAAAAGTGGACAACCACACGCCAATGTATTTGACACCTACTTTGGCGAACGTTGCTGAGAAATATAGAAGAATGGTCTACTAAATATGTTCCAACTAAAATATCCACCGACCTAGGTTTGAAAGTCGTGAACAATACGAACGGACTACACTGAAACCGACGGTGCATGCTTTGGACGATCAAACTCAGTTTCTTTATTCTGTCTGAAGCGGTTGCCACTTGCATGCTTTCCTTCATCATCGTCCGACCACTCGATGTGAGACGTAGAGGATCGAATGAGCTCAACACGTCGTTACCAGGCTCATCCTATTTCTCAGGGGTTCGCTGTATGAAGACAGGTGTGACAGTCTGGGACCGTACACCTTGACCCATGGTCGGTTGCGAGTCGACTATACCATGGAATACAGCATTCTACATCTACGTGACTTCCCCATGCCGAGAATAATACTCCACATGCGAACACTTTGCAGTGCATGCGGACGCCAGTACAAGCGTGTGGTTCCAGATATGAAGCGAGTTCCCACCAGATGTGCTTTGAACGGTGAGTGGAAACTGTGTATCGCAGTTTGCCGGAAAATACTGTGGAAGTAAAATCAGTGCAACAATTCAAAACATTGTTGAAAGTGCATTTCTCCAACGTCAGATTCCGAGAACGATTGTCACTGACATCTCACATTTGTGAGTTCAGCTGTACTGTGATTCACGCGTCTTTCTTACGATATCATGTAAAAACTTGAAAAACGATCTGGGTCATATATCGTTCTTTAAATGTTTCTACTTGCTCCCACAATACAATATACAGTAATAATAAGTGTCAATTTTTGACTTATCGCACAACAATGTGAACGCTTAATACACAAGATGGTGTGCAACTCTAGGTTTGTGAGATAGCATGGACGCCTTGCTGCTTTAATAACTGTAGAAGTCAGCAGTGACCTTCAGATGCTTAGTATACGAAGAGAATGATGAAAAAGCCACTGGAAGGTTATAATGTTAAAGGATATCGGGGATGAGGCGCTGGGAGCAGATGATAACCTACGGTTGTCCAATACGAAAGATGGGTTTAAGTCAAAGGGGCACAAATCACTAAACATTAACAAAGTAATCTGATTTACGAAGCAGTGAATAGAATGGAATGCTCACCGCGGAATACACAAGGCTAGTCGCATACAATCCTGAAATAACCGGAAGCATTTGCGCATGTACGTTCATTGTTACCGGCCGAACATTTGCGACCACGACCTGCCGCAGGTGAGTTCTGTTAGACCTGTACCTCACTGACAGGTTATTCGAAAAGGAGACGGTAGGTGATTATTGACATTCGCCGTGATAGACAATCCATGGTGCCCAAATGCTGTGCAATCGAGCTGAGCCTATTAACCACACCGGGTTGTCCCCAGCTTCAAATGTTAAAAGATGTGGGCTATCGGTTTCTACCCAGGATGTTGGGATTGAGACTAATAACCTGTCCCGTACAAGTAGCCTCGAAATTCCTAGGAAAAGAGACATTCAGTCTAGACCAACGAACCATGATGGCAGGCAAAAATATATGCCATGCAATGGCACAGCTTCGTTTCAATGAAAAATGTGAAGTAAAGCAAAGAAAGTAAAGCTAATATAAACCGCAAAGCCGATGTAAGAAACACCAAAAACGAAATGAAGTACTTACCGACTGGTACCGGTAGATGCTTTAAACCATTGGTGCAGCTGGCCCCAAGAAAATGCTGGCACAGGCTCTTTGAGGAGGTGCAGGACAACGCTCTCTAAACTGTACTCAAATAGACTAACCTTCCATTAAATTGAAAAGTGGAAGAAGAGAATGAGCCAGTGAGAATGTAGTATAACCGCGCAACGCTAAGCTGCACAATGTACAAGCAAGAGTATAACTTCTATAAAAATTGAAGATAAACTGCCGAAACCGCCACGTATAGAAAGACTGCGGAGTGATGGGACAGAGTTGCAAATATCGTTTTGGACAGTAACACCACTGTACAATAAGTCGAAGATGGTACCCGAAACAATGCGCTGACTCTCTCCTGAAGTTGTCTACTTGTATTTCAGATAAGATTTATGGGGATAGCTGGTAGCTACAGCGATTTATATAAATAATGGGTTATACTACCCTAGAAAGATATCATAAGTTGAGGTTAGCCGAAGCTACTAAACAGTTCAGTAGGGCGTAAGGGTTCGGATCCAAAGAAATAAAGATGGATTATTAGTTTAAGTGCGAACTGTTCCATCATTTAGCAAGCGTTTTGCGCCTTCAAAGTGCTAAGTATTGATGCAAAACCACCAGCCACTTGACAAACCTTAAGGGTTGAGAAAAATAAAGCAGAACAAGTTGACCAATTCATCTGCTATAGCAGCTTCGTAAACAGCAATGTGGGTGCGGCTGCTGAAGTTAATTCAAGTATTACGAAAACTATAACCAGCATATTAAGCTAGAGACCTTTGGGGACTAAGAAGGTGGTCTCTCGGCCTAAAAGGCCGTGTGTACAACGCCATGGTGAGCGCCATCTCACCCTATGAGAGTGAGACATGGCCCCTCCGGTTTGATTATTTCAAGCGCCCTCTAGTGTTTGTTCATCGTCAACTGCAAAGCATAGCTGATGTCGAAAGGCGCCAGTTTGTCTGCAACAATGATGTGAGTAGGCGAAGACTATACGAATGCATTGAGGTCAATTCATTACAGCAACAAATGACGTTGAGGAAGTTGCGTTGGCGTGCGCACGTCCAACGTATACCCGGTCATCGCTTACCTAAGAGTGAGTTGTTTTTATTTTCTGACTTCGGGTGGCGTAAAGCAAGAAGTGGGAAAATGTTAACTTGATAGCTGGCAATGAAGACACTGACGACTAAACTTGGCGCCGATGATCCGAACTGCCTTCCGGGCCAGAGTCCAAGTGACCGGCCTTGCGTATGACTTGAGATCTTGCAGGACATGGCTCGCAGTCGGCAAGAGCGGAGGGTATCTGTCGATTTCTAGTTAGATTGCTTGTTTAGTGTATCTGGCATTGTTATCCGTGGAGTAATGGCTAATTACGACGCGGAGCGATGAAGGCAACAAGGAAGCCGCCTCGTCGATGCCGCCTTATCCTTGTACGATAGCCAGATGTTTGTGACGGTATGTTGTTCGCAAGATGCTGGCGCCTTGACCACAGATGTTTGTTTAGGGTGTTTAGACTTACGATATGTCCGCCCTCTCTCCTTAATGTTCTTTATTTCGTAGGTAATTGTAGTTATACGGAAGTTGATGTACACTTGTTCTACGCCTTAGCGTCGTTTGTAAGTTACTTTTCACATATGTGAGTAGTCAAAAATAGAACCAAAAGATGAGGCTTACCTCAGGCATAACCACGCGCCATAAACACAAGATTACGCGACCAGGACAAGGGAATGGTCCACCTGTGATGGCAGCACCTGGACCGCATGGCCATCCGAAAGACCTATGGCACGCTGAGACCGTCGTCACGGAAGGATGGGCAGGATCGTTACCTAGGTAACGGCATGGACAAGTACAGGCTTCGTAGTTGGCACAGGACAAAGTACACTCATCAAAGTGCCAAACGGAGGTTTGTTCCGTAAAAGTGCCACATTGCTCAATGAAAAACTTGCAACATGCGCAGTTTACGATATCTGTAAATAACAGAAGGAAACAAATCAAAAAAGTATCATCCGCCATCAATGCAAAGCATGTCTCTTGCTACGGTGTGATCATATAAGCACAATCGTTTGCCAGGATATCGCCGCTATTATGCCTACTTATTGGTAGAAGAAAATCCGAGATGTATCAGAAACATGTCGAACAGATCAAGTAATGCTACTGCGGATGCTTCTGGTTTTCTTTAAAGTGGCACGTGAAATTGTTTTGCCAATAAATCGAAACAGATGTGAAATGAACAAGCCAAATTTGATGTACAGTAAACCAATCAATCATTAGACTTAGAGTGTTCTGGAAAAGAAGTCCGTCGACAAGAATACGAATATCATTTACATCGAAGAAGATCAGGGTCAAATTGTGCATAAAAAACCTTAGAGGACAAACACTGATACAATAATTTGCGTGAACAGCGTTATTCGGTTCAGTATAGTTAATGAGTAGAAACCTGATCAGGTGGAGCGTAAAATATGGGTAAAAAGGAAAGAAGTAATAATAGGATATAGCTCAAAATGGAAAGCTCAGTAAAAAAAGGTGGCAGACAGATCATTTACAAAAGCTCAGGTTGTGTTCGGTAGAGCAACGCTATACATCGGCAGCTGCCCATAGGAGGAGTTGTGGATTCACAGAACTAAGAACCGAATAACCTGACTGAGACACCATAGAACGGGTAGCGCTGTGGAGTGGATCTCGACATTTCCCTTGTTGGCACATACTGTATGGACGCATAGCCATTCGAGGACGGATGGCGGGTATACATGGTTGGCGGCGTCTGGTTTCGGATTTGCCTGTCACTGTGACAAGCCACAGGACGCCTGCGCCTACAGAGGGACCATGGATGGCTTGCGCTGTACCACCCACAGCTCCAACCACACACCCCATATCCAGTGTAAACCCGAAGGAATAAGACCGGGAAGCATGTCGATGGGAGCCCCGTTTCATCAACGGAGCAGGCCCACACTCCTTCACAGGCAAACACAAGCACGCTGTATTTGGGGAATCAAGCGCACACAAGGCGGTGGCTGGACCGTAGTCCGCTCCACACTGAGTGCATGGAACCGCTCTTTGAGCCTAGCACGGCCACAAGAACCGTGCACCCCGTCCCCTCCAGCAACGACCAACTGTCTCCTGGAGCCAGTATGAACGATGTAGTGGGTAATAGACAGGTAGGCACCTTGTCAACATACACATCAAGCGCAGCCACACCGGGGATATCAAACAACAGCCATTCACTTTAAACGACAAGCTGAAATAAAATAAATCCAATAATGCATACAGATACGGTGGCATAACCCTTCGCTAAATTACCATATGAAGTAAGTTGGTTAGCAACGAATCCGCGATAAGTAAGATATGTCCACAGGTTATTTAAAAATGCTACAAACGCAACAAAGTTACCGCTATTAGCATAAGCACTATTAGCTATTAGCGCTATTAGCATAAGCAACGTGGACACTTAATAGAAGATTATGCAGGTAGGCAGAACAAACCAAATAAAGTGGAATGAAAGTTATCCAGCTTAAAAAGATCTAGTTTATGTGTAAGGTGGTTTAACCCAACTGCGGTGAAGAAGCATCAAGAAAGCAACATCAGCCTCAGCATGGGGCACACATACATACCTACATATTACCAAATTCCTGTCACCTCTGGTGACTCCCAAGACAACTGTAACCACTCCCTTCAGCCTTTTTGT